GGTGGGTGGGAGGGAGAAAAGTGGAAAAGGTGGGTGAGTCACTCATGAGCATCAAAGAAGATTCATTATCTTCGCTCTGAATTTTTGTTTAGAAAAGAAGCACAAGGTAGTTCCCTTCCAGACCAGTCATCCATAGTCATAGCTTTTGGGTGTGCTGGAAGCAGATTGCATGTGTTCCCCTTGCTCCATGTTCCTGGTTTGACCCAGAGGGCAAGAAGAAATAATGGTGACTGCACCCAACAGGACCAGGGTCCTCATGCCCTTCCATTGCTAAACCCCCAGTTACTCCCCTTTCCTTCCCTCTGCCTCTTATTTTCTTTTGCTGTGGCCCTGAGATTTGCGGTTGGGTTTTTTGGTTTGTTTTTTTTCTGTTGTTTTATGTTTTTGTCCTGATGAGGGCACCACTGCAGACCATGATGTGCCTGGGGTTGTGGGCAGCTGCCCTGCTCTGCTTGTTTTCCCCTGGCACCGTGCGAGGTGACTGCTGGCTGATTGAGGGGGACAAAGGTTACGTGTGGCTGGCCATCTGCAGCCAGAACCAGCCCCCGTATGAGACCATCCCCCAGCATATCAACAGCACGGTGCATGACTTGCGTCTGAACGAGAATAAGCTCAAAGTGGTGCTCTACTCCTCCCTCAACCGCTTTGGCAACCTGACTGATTTGAACCTGACCAAGAATGAGATTTCCTATATCGAGGATGGGGCTTTCATGGGCCAGTCAAACCTCCAGGTCTTACAGCTGGGCTACAACAAACTCACCAACCTGACAGAGGGCATGTTGCGGGGCATGGCTCGTCTTCAGTTCCTCTTTGTGCAGCACAATCTCATTGAGCTGGTCACCCCTACTGCCTTCTCCGAGTGCCCCAGCTTGATTAGCATTGACCTGTCATCTAACCGTCTCAGTCGCCTGGAGGGGAACACTTTCACCAGCTTGAGCAATTTGATGGTGTGCGAGCTGGCTGGCAACCCCTTCAACTGTGACTGCAGCCTCTACAGCTTTCTTAACTGGCTGGCAGTCTTCAACAATGTCACCAAGAACTATGACCGGCTCCAATGTGAGACTCCTCGGGAGTTTGCTGGGTACCCACTCCTGGTACCTCGGCCTCACCACAATCGCAATGCCATCACCATCTTCCAGTCCATGTGCAGAGGTGGCACCATTCCCTCCCTCTCCAGGGTCAACCCCACCCCTTATACCCCTGACTCCCAGCGAGACCTGGATGAGGGCTCAGCCATCAGCCCTGGGGACTTCCTCTCAGTCAAGCCTCCAGCCTCCTCCACCACTGACTCCTCTTTCAGTCCCAGCATCAAGCTCCATGATGTCACCATCACCTCAGCTATCCTGATGGTAACCATCCCCATGCCTTACAGTAAGATGTATGTGCTGGTCCAGTACAACAACAGCTACGTTTCTGACATAGCAACACTGAAGAGCAAGAAGGAATATGTCACTGTCAACAAGCTGAAGGCCCACACTGATTATACTTTCTGTGTGGCCTCCATCCGCAACAACAGGCGCTACAACCACACTTGCCTGACCTTTGCAACCCGGAGCAAAGGCAGGGAAGACCCTATTTCCAGTACTTCCACCACCACACACTATATCATGACCACCCTGGGTTGCCTCTTTGGGATGGTCATTGTCCTGGGGGTGGTGTACTACTGCCTGCGAAAGCGGAGGATGCAGGAGGAGAAACAGAAGTCACTCAATGTCAAAAAGACCATCCTGGAAATGCGTTATGGATCAGATATTGACACCAGTACCATGGTCCATCCTTCCCAGAAGCTGGGTGAGCCACCAGTCATCCCTGTCTCACGGATGTCCTCCATCCCTTCCATGATTGGGGAGAAGTTGCCCCCATCAAAGTCAATGGAAGCTGGTATGGAGACTCCTAAAGTTACCACTAAAGGTAACTACATTGAGGTGCGAACTGGTGGTGGGGATGGGCTGGAGCGAACCCAGCGGGATGAGGACCTGAGGGAGCTTGACAATGGACAAGGCTCAGCTGCTGAGATCTCTACTATAGCCAAGGAGGTAGACAAGGTCAATCAGATCATCAACAACTGCATTGATGCCCTCAAGCTGGACACAGCCTCCTTCCTGGGTGGTGGGACTGGTGTTGACTCAGACATGGCCTTTGAGTGCCAGTCCATCCCAGCCAGTTCCTCAGGTGGGCTAGAGCGGCCCAGCTTTCTTTCCCCACCCTACAAGGAGAGCTCCCACCACCCTTTGCAGCGCCAGCTCAGTGCTGATGCTGCCATGGCCAGAAAGACCTGCAGTGTCTCCTCTAGTGGTTCCATCAAGAGCGCCAAGGTCTTCAGCTTGGATGTGCCTGACCATCCACCGCTCAGCAAGTCTGACTCCAAATACATTGAGAAGGGCAGCCCACTCAATAGCCCTTTGGATCGTCTTCCCTTGGTGTCCCCGGGCACCATCCACCACTTGGAGGTCAAGCCTTCTTACCATTGCAGTGAGCACCGTCACTCCTTCCCGGCCCTGTATTATGAAGAAAGTGCTGACACCTTGAGCCAGCGGGTGTCGTTCCTCAAGCCACTCTCCCGGTCCAAGCGAGACTCCACGTACTCCCAGCTCTCCCCCAGACACTACTTCTCAGGCTACTCCTCCAGCCCTGAGTACTCATCAGAGAGCACCCATAAGATCTGGGAGCGTTTCCGGCCTTACAAGAAGCACCACAGGGAGGAGGTTTACATGGCGGCTGGGCATGCCCTGCGGAAGAAAGTTCAGTTTGCCAAGGATGAGGATCTGCATGACATCCTGGATTACTGGAAAGGAGTCTCTGCTCAGCAGAAGCTGTGACTCTCCCTCACTTTTTCCAAGGAAAGAATACAAAACAGGACCCCCACCTCCCAACAACCAGAAAAAAAAAATGCCACTTGACTGTGAAAAATAAACCACCAACAAAATACTCCCGACAAATACAAAACTGACAAAATTGTTTCTTAAAGTTTACAACAGAAAACTCTCTCACACACAGACACACACAGACACACACATGCTGAATTGTCTCTACTGTGTTATGGGGACCATTGTTCTGCCTGCAGATGGTTGGGAGGAGCGTCCTTCTCCAACACTGTGGTAACAACACTGGAGTGCGGGTGTGTAGGAATGGCCTGGGAGGGGGTGGCAGAGGTGGCAGGGATGGACACTCACTGGGCATGAAACTCAGCTGTGAACTATTTCTCTTTATGTTCCTTTTGGGTGGGAGGGGAGGACTCTGGTCCAGAAAGCCCACCTGATAAACCTGCTTTTCCAAATCTTCCATCACTATTTTTTCCCTCATTTGCTTTGGCAGTGGAAGTTTTCTCTCTCTCCCATCTCCTTCCAAGATAGGTTGGATTTGTTGGAAGAAGTTCTCTCACTTGTTTTCCTTTGCCCTTCCCTACCTTTGTCTGTTAAGGTTCCCTAGGCTTGTACTTTCTGTCTAGATATTTAATGAACCTCCATCCTTCTCAGAGGAAGGAGAGGAGGTGTGTAGGACCTGCCATAAAACAGGCTCTGTACCCTTGTTGCACTTCCTCCTTTCCTTCTTCCGCCATGTTGTTGCTGATGAACACCAGCAATTCTGGAATGATGGGCCTTCTCCAGGCCTACTCAGAGGCAGTTTTCTGCCAGCTGGTGGAGGGGTACGAATGTGCTTTTTGGCATGGCAAGCCAGGTCCTCAAGGAGCGGTGGAAGAAGAGGCAGGAAGGTCCAGTCTCTCAGAAGTGTAAATGGTTCCCATCTTTCCATGACTATCACAGGTCAGAGGTGACATACACACCTCCCCACCATACACACCTATGCTCAGGCTGTCCTTCTGCAGGGGCAGATACTGAATTTTGATGCTCTCTGTTCATGTCTCCCTTGCTATGAGGAAGGGACCTGGAGAAGACCTGAGCAGGACAAATTCTACACAAAACTTCTGCAGCTCTTCCCAACTGACTTGCATCATAGAGTGTGGGGTGCGGGGATGTGTGTGAGAAGAGCATCACCCAACCTCCTCGCTTGCAGGTGGATGTGAAGAATAGGATTTCAGTTGCTTACCTCACTGGGTTGACAGAAAAGCCACAAGTGGCTTCCCCTTGAATAGGCCACAGACATTCTGTCATGGATAGGAGCAGTCTAGGGTAAAGGCAGGAGCACAGGAAACAAAAGGGATGTGAGAACGTGGCCTAGGATAGCCCAAGATGGATGGCTCCAGGAGAATCTCCTTTTGTGTGTGCAGCCACACTCTGTGTGCTGGGAAAGAAGAGGATACCAGCCTCTGGATGGCAGTGTTCCTTTCAAGACTTAGAGGTCCTCATGAGAGTCAGAGCAACTTGTCACCTCCAAAATCCTCCACCCTCTCACAGTTAGCTGTGACAGTTTTCTTAGAGATCCTATAGGTGTCTTGGCAAAAATCTGGTTTCATTTTCTAGATCGCAGCCTCTGTTCCCTTGATGGAAGAACTGCCACAGAGCTGGGAATAGGCCTGCTGCCCTTTTCACTTTGTCCCTTTTCTAAGCAGCCCAGCAAAGCACAATCTTGGCACCCTTTCCCCCAAAGATTTCATTGCCAGGCAGGGGTGGTTGCCTACTGAGTGCATCTTAATGCAGCACAGTGGGCCTCCTCTCCATGAGATGCACACCCTAGTTCCTGTCAATCATTCACCTCTGTCAGGATGAGGGTGAGGGCCTGTGTTGTATTGGCCTTTCCCTAGTGGGTATTTCCTTTCTGAGGCACTCCTCAGAACCCCCAGTGTTTTTGGGGGCCCTGGGAGAAGGATGAGGGTGTAGGAGCTTCTCTGGGAGGGATTTACATGCTGCCTGCAGGGAACCTGCCCAATATCTGTCAGGTAGTAGCATGGCCAGCTATGAGAACTGTTTCTATGCCACAGGTGACATGACTTCATCTTCTGTGAGTGAGGAGCAGCAAGTAGATGGAGCCTGGTGTGCAAAAACCAGAGGAGAGATCACCAAGGGGTCTAAACCTGTCAAGAACCTCCAGGTTCCTTCCTTGTAGGGATGCTGATGGTAACAATCCTAAGTGAGGTCCTGATCCCATTGCTTCAAGCCTCCTTCACTGTCAGCCTGCTTCCCCACAGTCAAAGCATCATATTGCCTTGAGCCCAGAGGTGTTCATGGGACTGACTCCATGCTGTAAGAGCCAGTCCAGCCCAGAGGAAGGCATGTGTGTGCTCACGTGTGTGTGCACGTGTGTGTGTGCAGGAGGATGAAGGGAAGTCACATCACTGCTGCCAGGTGTCCCTCCATGTTGGGATAATATAGCAGATCAAGACAGGTAAATGGTGTGAGAAATGCTTGGGTGCAGCAGAGACCTCTCCAGCTACTACATGGAATAGGCCCAGTGGTCTTCCAGCATGGCAGCCATCCAAGCAGGAGAGAGTAATGGCTGGGGCACAGAACTGGACAAGAAAAGAGGGATGACAGGCATGGGGGGATGGAGTCTTGTTCCTCTCCTCACCTCTTCCCTCCCTGGGCTTCTCTGCTGTCTGGTCTTGTAATGAGTTCAGCTCAGTCTACACTTTACGGTAGCTTAACCTGTAATAGTTTCTGCTCCTTCCTTCCATCACCCCAACGAGGTGGAAAAGAAAGGTCAAGGATACAGCTATCATCAGGCCTTTCTTTTGCCTGTGGTGGGGGTAAGGCTGGGTAGGAGGGACAAGCCATTTCTCTCCCAACTGTAGCCCCCCCACTCCCAACCAGTGGGTGAAGTTTGCACAAGATGGACTGTTCTGTGGGAGGAAGAGGGCAAGGAAGGGGAATAAAGCGTCCCACCTTCCTTCCTCCTCCCTTCTTCCTTGTCCTGCTCCCTCCCCAGGGATGAGGGCTTGCAAAATGATGCCAGCCCTGTCGGAGGAAAGCAGATTTAACGTTCTATTTGCATGACGATTTTACTGTATTTTTCTGAGCAAACACTTGTTGTGTATGTGCCAGTTTGTTGGAATTTAACCTCCTGCCCCAGAGTCTCCCCTGTTCTTGTCCCTGTTTTCCCTGCTCCTTTCCTTCATCCCTGATGTGATTTTATGAGAGACTCCTACCAGTTTGGGAGGGAACACACCCCAAAGAGAACCCAACCCAATCAGCCCCATAAAAAACATTCTGTCTTCTTTTCAGTGTCCCCCTCCCCTTGCCCCAAATGTGGTCTGTCAGCTGCTTTCCAGGGTCGTGTGTGTGAAGGGGAATATGTTACATACCAAAGGCCTGCTCTTTCTAGTGGTCATCATTTCTCCTAATTATTTAGAAACAGGAGTGAGGCCCATCAAGATAGATATCATAAGAGAAATGGTCACTACCATCCCCATGCCCTCGTTACTCTTTCCTCAGATCTATTCTTGGGGGCAACAAGGAGTGCTTCATCTGCAGGGAAACCTCTGATGCAGTGAAAGCTTGATGTGGAAAGGTTGCAATCACTAGAAGAATCACCACCTTCCTCTCACTGATTGCAGGGAGCCCTGGATTAGCTCTGTCCTACCCGTCCTCTTCTGTGGGTGGCCCTGGCAGAGGGCAGGGCATGGTGAAACATTAAAGGCCTCTGTGGTGGGAAAAGGCGTGGAGAGACTACCTGAAGTTTCTAAGCCCTCTATGGCATGGCTTTGGCAAGAGTTCCTCACCCCTGCCTTCTCCCAGGGCAAAATGGATCCATGGGACAGAACGAGTACCTTTCACACTTTATTTCTGGGTTAGTGACTCTTCGCAGGGAAAACAGGGGTTTAATTCACCTCACTGTAAATCATGGAGGATGAGGAATGAGGTTGGGTGCTGACCTGCCTTCTTCCCCCAGGAACAGGCTCGAGAGGGAGCCTGGGCTGAGTCCCTGCACCCAGAAGAGTGAAGGGGAGACCCTAGGTGTGCTGTTTCTGTGGGGCAGAGCTCTTCCTCATCCCTGCTGGTGCTGCTCCAGCTTATGCTGTGGTGCCATGTTCCCCTCTCCTCCTCCCCAATCTTCCATGCTGAATAAATCCCTCCCAAGGCAGGTGTGAAATATTCATGACTGACAAATGAAGATTTATGTTGGGCTGAGGAGGCCTCTGTGTGTTTGCAATGCTAATCAGTCTGCTTTCTGGGAGGAGGCTCTGCCAGGCAGGCTTGGGGGAAGAAGAAGAAGGAGATGCAGGAGAGAAGACGGAAAAGGAACTGAGGAATGGAGAGGAGGGCCAGACACAGCAGGGGTGGGCAGTGTATGGTGGGAACAAGGAATGGGGAGGCAAGAAGGAGACAGGTAGAGGAATATGGAGAGGGTGGAGAAGAGAGACAGGCTGGAAGGACCAGGGGAAGAGATGGCTGCAATGGGTAATTGCAGAAAGGGATGAGAGGAAGAAAGAGTTGACTGCAAGGGTGGAGGCTTTCTGAGAGGAGGTGGGAAGTAAGTCAGTAGTGCCCATAGAGAAAAGCTGGGCAGGCTTCATGATGAGCTATGCCCCCTATCTGTAGGGTAGAACTCAGTGTACAGGGCAGGCAGTTGCCACACGGGAAGGAGCTGGATCCAGGGCCCCAAGAGCATATTTGCCATGCTTGTTGCTGACCAGAAAGCTCAGCTGCATCTGGAAGGACACACGGCCTCTGGGAGCCTGGAGAACACCTCTTCCACCGCCACCACCTCCTTCAGCACAAACTGCATGCAAGAAGAGCCCCATGGAGCCATGTCCTCTTACTGGAGCCAGCCTGCTGCTGTCTCACCATCTGAGCAGGAGAGAGCATCTTCAGGGTGGCTTGGTGTGGGATGGACACGGAGTGCCACCTTCCACTGGGCTACAGGGGTCTCTGGTAGAGCTGGTGGACCCTGCCCCACCTCAGCTGCCCCCAGCCCACCCTGGCTGAGGCAGGTGTTTTTGGGTCTTTCCCCAAAGAAGGGGCAGAGGGGAGTGTCTGTTGCCTCCTCCCTACACACGCACGCACTCCCACACCCCATCCCTCCAGCCGCTTTGGCCTTGTACTGTGCGGGGCGTTCTCGGTCTGCCTCCCCTCGGCTTCCCCCGCCGCGCGCCGTGGGGAGACGTCTCTATACCTCTCCCTGCGCC